ACGTCAGGAAGGCGAAACCCAGAAGAAGAAGAGGAAAAAAAAAAAAAAATAGGCACGAGGGCGGAAGGAGAAAAACTTTATTTTTTTCTCCTCTAGGCACTGAAGCGAGGGACAGGCGACTGCGCCAGCGCAAGCTTCCGAGAGAGCTCCAGGGGCCACCTCAGCCTGCCGAGGCGCACAGGAGCCGGGCCCGGGAGGCCCGACGGCGCGGCCGGTATGTGGGACCCGCAGGAGTTTGAACGCCACTGGCAGGCCGAGTTCCCCGGGGAGGAGGCTCCAGTCATGAGGCTGGAGTCGGTGTCGGACATGGAGCACGAGCTCGAGCGTTGCAAACTCAACCTGAAGCGGCTGCAACAGGTGTTGGCTGAAGAGAAGTTCAAAGTCTGGTACCTGCAGGCGACCCTGGCTGGAGAGAAGATGAACCTACCGGGCGGGCGGCCGGAGGGCGGAGACGCCGGAGGCGGCGGCGGCGGCTACAGCGGTAGCGGGGGAGCTTCCGTGGAGAAGCAGGAGCCAGCTGGGCCCTTGCGCGTGCCGCCACCGCGCGACGAGCAGGGTGCAGCGGGCCGCGACCCAGATTCCTCCGTCCCCACGCGCCCGGGTCCGGAGGTGGCGACCCCGGCCGAGCCATCCCCTTACTTGTGCCTGGACCTTCCTGCCTGGCCCGGGGCGATGGAGGGAGGGGGCGCCGTGCGCAGCCTGACTGCCGCCATCCACCAGCAGCTGGTGCAGCCTCGCCTGCTCTTCGGGCTGCGAGAGGACTGTGCGTCCCCCGGCCGCGATGGCATGGGGTCCTCCGCACCCGGAGAGGAGCGGTCCTCCGGGACCAGTGCGGGGCGGGGCTCGGAGGAGGGAGAACCGGACGCTTCAGGTGGCGATGATGGAGGCGACTGCAGTGACCACGACTTCGAGATGGTGGATTTGAATGAGAAATTCGTCCTCAGCCACCTACTTGTGGCCCCCTGCACCCGTGAGGAGGTTGAGAAGCCGGCGCGGCCGTGCAGCCCCCACCGGTGGATGCACCTGATCCCGGGAGGCTGGAGGCACCACCGGCGGAGTCGAGAGCTGGAGCAGCTGGAGGCGGAAGATGAGCCCCCCAGGCGCGGGGCGCGGGAGCACCTCGCCCAATGGGGGCGCAAGAGGTTCCTGCGCGTACCGGACCGAGACTCGCCCAGTCATAGCTCGCCCGAGAGAGGCAGTGACTGCAGCCACAACAGCTCAGACCACGAAGAAGGCTTCTCCGCAGGTAGGCGCAACCCCTCTCTAGGTACAAGTGCGTGCGAAGTGAATTTGGGGTTCGGGTGAGTTTATGAAAATAAGCATGATGGCTGTGCAGGGGGTGATAGGATGGCGCACTTGACCAGACCTTGGTAGCACCTTTCACCTTGGTCTTCAGCCCTTACTCCTCACAGGTCCTCCAGAGTCCTTTGCACCCTCTGCAGAAACTCCCGAAGTCCCCCATTTCCCCGAGATTCCTTGGTGTGGAAGTCTTAAACCTTCCCTAAATGTCCTGAAGTCGTCTTGTGTTTCCTCCAGCCTGCCTGCGTCTCATGCTGGGGGCCTAGTTCACTCAAGAGATGCCAAATGTTCCCCTTTCGGGACCATTCTTCTTTCCAAGAAGGCTGCTGTGGGTCTGTTGGCTTCCCTGGAGCTGGAGAGGAGGGAAAGGCTTGGAATCCCAGTTTCGAGCTGGCCTGGTTCCTAGAGAGCCTCTTTGATCCAGTGCCTTCACCTGATACAGAAGGAAACCGAATCTCAGATGTGTTCAAGCAGGTGACCTGAGACCTTTGCTGGTGTCTCTGTCCTTTGCTTCCTCTCCTATCTGCCCTCTTCTTGAGAATGGGGACTGGTCTTAGTTGTTTTTTAATCTACTTGTGGTCATCACAGTGCTCAGTAAATAATGTCTGAATTAATGAGCAGCTGCATTGAATTTGAAAGACTGTTCAGCTCTTCATAGGTCAGGGAGTAGAAATAGGTAAGGAGAAATAGTTAACAGGGCTGTGGGGTATGCGACGATGGTATGCACTGAATCTCAAGACTGGGTCTCTTCAGGCATGCAGAAAGCATACATTGGTGTCTGGTTTGATTGAGTTGCAGCAAGGAACTTAGATGCCTTCTTGCTCTGTGAATGGGGTGGTGATGGGGGTGGGGAGACATATCAGTAATTCTGGGATTGTTCCAAAATCTCCATTATTAGGTCTTATCTGGGTGAGTTTCCATTTGAGTGAAAAACTGTCCAGTCTGCTAAAAGCGCATTTGGAAGATCCATCAAGTCATCTGTTTTGATCAATTACACTTATTCATTAGCAGATATTGGCTGCTTTTCCCATAGGTAATACTTCTGCCACCCCTGCTAGTAATCATTTTTTATGTTCCCCTTTCATTTAAATCAGAGTTGAAGATTTTTCTCTGGTGCCAAGTTTCAAATGCCCTCCTCAGAGGCTAAGGTCTCCTCAGCTGCTTTATAGTTGGCGACTGTCCCATCGCTCCCGAGACCCACATCCATCATTCTTGTCAGGTGTGCTCAGTGCTCTGGATTTTCCCCAGGAGTGATTGTTAATTCTGCAAGCAGTCTGTTCTTTAGCATCTTGTTGAAAATTAGAAACCAGCACAGGCTTTGAGCTAGCTACCACAGGTGCTCCTCAGGGTAGATGAGGGATGAAACAATTATTTCCTTTGGGCTGAAGACTCCAGCCTGAGCACATGGTCTAGCACCAGTGGCTCTGGCTAGGCGTGCCAAAGCCAAACCCCTGTAGGCTCTCTGCAAGGTGCACTTGTATATGAAACCCCCCTCTGCCCTTGCACAGCTGCAGGTGGAGATCCTGCCTTCTCTCTCTGGCTGTCATGGGGACGTATACATGCAAGCATACGTACACCATACACAGTGAAGCATGTATGTGTATGTGCACATACACAGCACACTCCAGCAAGCAATAGCAGGCTCCCACACACACACACACTGCAGAGCAATTCACAGGCAGTGGAAATATAGTAAGGTCCTCCTTGCTTGCTTTTCCTATAGCTCTCATTAAATTAGCTCCTCAGACACTGCTGTTTTGTATATGGATCCAATATCTCCCCCTGCACTCAAGCTCAATCCCTGGTGAAATGGGAACTGTAGGAGCATAGGAAATTTTTGTATCTTCATTTATACAAACGTGTCTAACATATACTCAGTTTCCCAGAAGTGTTTGTTGAATGGTATGTTTTTACATTTATTTGTGTGTGTGTGTGGGGGGGGGTTGCATTGCCACAGTGTGTGTGTGAAGGCCAGAGGATGACTTCTGTGAGTTCATGCCCTCCTTTCATCGTGTGGGTCCTAAGGATAGAACTCAGGTCCTCAGGCTTGGTGACAAATGCCCGTATCTGCTGAGCCATCTCACTCACTGACTCAGAGTCATAAGTTTATTTGGATTTTTGTTGTTGTTTGTTTTTGAGACAGGGTCTCACTGTGTAGCTCTGGCTGATCTGGAACTCATTATGTAGATGAGGCTACCCTTGAACTCTCAGTGGTCTGCCTGCCTTTACCTCCTAAACTCTGGGATTAAATGTGTGTGCCACCACGTCTGGCCCTCAGAGTGATGTGATGTATTTTTAATGGGATAGAACAGAATAGAAAAGGAGTGGATTCATGCTTATCATACTTGGGTCATAGGTTCAGTTCCCAGCACCAAAAGCAAGAAGGGAGGGAGGGAGGGAAGGAGGGAGGGAGGGAGGGAGGGAGAGAGGAAACATGAGGGTGCATTGCACATGGTTAGTATCACTGTTTTAAAATTTTGTTTCAATGACATATAAATGTTCCGGTAATTTGTATGCCAGGGGTGATGGAACATACTTATAATCCCAGTACTCCAGAAGGCTGAGGCAGGAGGATGGAGCGTTCCTGGTCAGCCTAGGCTACAAAGTAAAAACTAATATGAAAAACGAAAAAAAGTCATGGTCTCTGAATCACGGTGCTTGTATGACAGTGGCAGAAGTCATTTGACTTTTCTGTGGCTTACTTTCTCCATCAGTAAAATGGGAACTCCTCATACTGTTGCTAAGAGGAGGAAGTGGGCTGCCGTCTCTAAAGAACTTTGAACGGGTCTGGAACCTAGTGAGCATGTGAGTCTGTGAACTAACTCCTGCTACAGGCAGTGCTCTTCAATTTGACTCTACAAAACTTTCCACTTCCAGAATATTCTGGATCACAGATGGCTTGGTTCTGATAGGACATCTTTGTTTCGTTAGCACCACTGTGGCCCTTTCCAGAAGTTTCCAGGCAACAGGGCAGGAGCCAGGGCTGGGCATTAACCTGGTCTTCTGAGGTGCTTTGGGTTGACCTTTGTGTTATTTCTCCCTTTCTGCCATTGGCCACACCCCTGTATCTATATCCAGAGGAATTAACTGTAGGTCAGATTATATTGGATAATAAAGCAGGCTTTGTCTTAGCCACAGGGTCTTAAGGCGAGAGAGCCCTGAGGTAGCATTAAAGAAAAAAAAAGAACAAAACAACAACAACAACAAAAAAAACCTAAGGGGGCTCCTCTCCATTTTCTACTAAGTAAAGAGTAGATCCATAAACCTGTACACCTTTTGGGGTTCTCTTCACATGTGAGAATAAATGCAGAGTTTAATTAATAGGCATGCCAGGTCACTTTAGGCATCTTTCCTTGATCACCTTTATTGATTAGTTTGAGAACAGTCTAGCCCATGATAACATGGTTAGTTGGGGGGGAGTTGGCATAGGGCAGAGGTATGAATGGAGGGAGGGGCAGAGCAGAATTTGATGTGTTGGGTCATATGTACTGTGAAGTTAGAGCTGAGTCTACCTAGCGCCTCTCTTACTAGATGTAAGGCCCCGGGCAAGTCACTGGCCTTTCCAGGTCTCAGCCTGTGTTTCACAGCAGCCTTGGAAAGGTAGTATTCACTTGGCTTACTTTTGCCAGCCCCTGTTCTGAGCACTTTATCCCTAATAATTAGTTTATGTCACACAGCCCATGACACAGAAACTACTGTGTTTCCACTTTATATGTTAGAGTCTTGAGGTATAGAAGAAAGCTTAAAGGACCCTCTACCAACCACCCAGCTTACAAAAGGAGTACATAGGATTTGACCCAAGGCAATCTAACTCCCAAATCCATGCTTTCAAACAAATGCTAAACTTCTTTCTACAAATTTTAGCTTGTACCTCCCAGGATAGTTGTGCAGATTGACTTCAGGAAACTAGGAAGCTATTTAGATGGGTTAACAGCTCACTTGACTTTTCATGACCATGAAGTTCATACATGTCTGTGTGTCATTATAGCCTTCATTGTCACTGAAGTCCCTACCAGACTCCAGATCATCATGAGCTGGGGTCAGTTCTCAGGGCTGTCACCTACCTATGGGGCTCCTGTGAACTGGGCCTCATAAGATAGCAGGTGACATGCTAGATTTCAAACTTCTCCTCAGTGTCCAGCCAGTCCTGGGCACATATAGCTGAATATCATTAAAAGGAGGTTCACAACTCCCTCTGCAGCCATGGTTTCCCCTGTGTGTCTTCACTCCTTGTGGACCCAAGGGCTGTCCCTCTAACAAAACTCAGGGGTGGCTTTTTCATGCCCAGCATCCTTTTGACTATTAGAAACTAATCATCTCTGATTTCAGTTCAAATGCCCAAGTTTAAATATCACTAATATTATAAATAGGTGGCATTTCCTTCTTGCATTAATTTTGCTCAGTGGAGGCAAGTTCTCTCCACACACCCTTCCCTTGCTTCTGAGATGGGGGATTGAACCCAGGACTTTGTACATACTAAATAAGCCCTCTACCACAGCTATAGTCCAGCCTCAAGTACTCTCTATATCTCTACTTTTGTTGGCCCTTTGCCAACCATCCATCTACCAGACCTACTCGGCAAGTATTTATCAAAGTCATGCTTCATGCAAGCTATGTTCAGGACTAAAACTGCTCAGGTTGTTGACCCATCCTCATCATTTTTACTGTCTTTTTGCTGGATAGAAACCTTGATTCTTATATAAAGAAACAACTTTCTGATGAATGACTGCTGTTACATCTTGAGTAAGGAACCAGACACTGGGGCACATGCCTGTAATCCCAACACTTGGGAGACTAAAGCAGGAAGGTCATGGTCAGCATGTTTCATAAAAAGAGAAAATTCTAAATAAGAAATGTGGGGCCACTGGCAATGGATTGGGAATTTTTTTGTTTGTTTGTTTTTTGAAACAGGGTTTCTCTGTGGCTTTGGAGGCTGTCCTGGAACTA